AAAAGAAATTCCTAACCAGCTTTGGAAGCTTTGTGAGCAAGAAACCATGAGAACAAGCAATTGAGGTTCAAACGACTTTTTATTAAACAAAAACTGTGCAAAAACACGATTACAAAAACCCTTCAACCAAAAGAGAGACCCTTCACAAAACACCATTCCGCCAAAAAATGGGAGAATTCTTTAAACATAACGAGAAAGAGATGCCATTTCTGCAAACTCTAGACCTCCCTCTCCCACAACCCAGGCCTTGTCCCCAACTTTTGATATTATGAATTTTCTTTGTGAGGAATTTCCAATTCGAACTGATGATCCAACGACAAAACGTCCAGACACAGCTCTCTTGGGGTCCGAACACAAGAAGTCCGCAGAGAAGACCTCCAGGAACATCTTCTGACTTAAGATCTTGTCCATCCTGAAAGGGAGAAAAGAAAACATTGTAAATTTTGATTTTAAAACCATCAGTTTTTTTCGATATTATGAACTTTCTTTGTGAGGAATTCCCAATTCGAACTGATGATCCAACGACGAAACGTCCAGACGTAGCTCTCTTGGGGTCCGAGCACAAGAAGTCCGCTGAGAAGACCTCCAGGAACATCTTCTGACTTAAGATCTCGTCCATCCTGAAAGGGAGAAAAGAAAACATTGTAAATCCTGATTTTAAAACCCATCAGTTTTTCGAAAGACTTACTGTCTGAAGGGATCACCGCCCGATCCAATAACAGCCGGGTTGATATGAAAAGGTCCGTTCCCAAAACATTCCTTGGGGCCACTATCCGTAGAATGATGATGAGGTAATCCAGGGGGGATCCCTGGAGCAGTTTTTCCACTGTCCAGCCAGTACGGGCAGCTACCAGCACAAGCAAATGCCCCCCAAGTCTTGTTCAGACACTGGGTCCACTCCAACCCAAAGCAAATAGCCGCAGCATGAAGCTGGGCAAAGAACAGATAGGCCCGAGTATGTATGTGGCCAAAGGACAGCTTTGTACGATCAGACCTATCAAAAGCTGCAAGATGCCTAACCGGAGTCGGCACTGCCCACCATCCCTTCCCACCTGCAGCCCCTTGCCTCTTCCCAATCTTAGTCTTTAAACCATTGTATAAGGCCATCTGAAAGGCATGACCAGCGCTTTCGCGCCCTCTTTGACTTAAAATTGGAACCCCGTTATTTCTGAGAGGAATTAGAGGAACCCCTTGCAAATCTAAATCCATCTTTTCCGTCAAATACGTATTACTCCCTTGTGCTAAAGCAGGGGGAGCAGAAGCTCCCAAAGCCAGGACTGGCGCATCAAAAGCACGAGAAAGTTCATCAAAATACCCATAGAGGGCTTGAAGAAAATGTCCAAAATTAGGATAATGACAAATGACGTCAGGTT